CCCCCCCCCCGGAAGGCTGAGTGCCGCCAGCCGGTTCATGACCGTCGGCTACCGGAGCACCTGGAGCAGCCCCTCTGGCAGTATCGCTTTTTCTTGGCCAAGGAGAAGATGGTTCGCGTCCTTGTTCGGGCTGTCCTTCTGCCCCCTCTGTGCATGGTCTTCTCACATCCCTTTCGCCCCTTTTTTTTTTTTTTTGCTCGCCGTACCCCAGGGTCTGCCCACCCTGCTGTATCACTTCGCACGGCGCAACCAGAAGCAGCGCGAGCATCTCTTCTCCATCCTCCATCTGTGGGCCCCCCTCTCCTTGGTGGACTGCCTGACGTTGCTTACCAAGGAATTTGTCAACATGGCCCCGGCCCGGGCATTTGCCGTGGCCCAAACGGCCACGCGTCCTGTCGAAGTACGCTCTGGCTTTGTGTTTCCCTTCCAGCCGCCCCCTGGGTTTCCCCTTCCGTTCCACTCCTCACACGGTGCCGTCTCGATGGCGTCTTCGCTCCTCCCTCCCCCCCCCCCCCCCCCCCCCGCCTGCAGGAGCTTCTGCTGATTCAGCTCTCCCTGGTGGAGTCGTTGAAGTTCGAGATCCTCCCCCCGGCTGACCTGCTGGTCGACCTGTCGGGCGAGGGGAAACACGGGCCGATGGCCAGCCCGTCGGCCGGAACCCCGGAAGATGTGTGGCAGGAGAATCCGGCCGTTGTGGCGCTCCTCCAGCGAGCTGGCCCGGTGGAGCGGCTATTTGTGAGCCGCTCGCCGGTGGTACACCTGCTGATGACCCGATCCCTCCGGACCCCGGCTCTCTGTCTGAGTCTCTACTGGCAGCTGCATGTGGAAGCGGTCATGGAAAACTCCCGCTACGCCGGGCACTTCAAGCTGCTGAAGAATGTGTTCATGGCTTTCCTGGAGAATGTGCGCACTCCCTGTACCCCACCTCCTGGCGCGCATGCTGCATCGGTGCCGATGCTCTCCATCCCGCTACTGACCGCCCGTCCGGGTGTCTTCTCCTGCTCCTCTTCTCCTGCCCCTCCCCTTCCTCTTCATGGGTGTCCTGTGTGTCTTTCCCTCCCGGCGATATGTCGCATGCTTTCCCTCTGGCTGGTCGTCTCCTCCGGCAACCCGCTTTCCTCGGTCCGCTGTGCATATAACTACAACCACACACACACACACACACACACACACACACACACACGCCTATGTGTGTGTTTGCCACGCAGTCCTCATACAAGGCTTCCTTCCAGACCATCCAGCGCCAGGAGCGCCTGGTGGCCAATGTCATGACTTTGATGACGGATCTGCGTCAGAGCCGCCTCCCTCGGCAGAAACTGATCTCCCAGCTGCCGGACTTCATTCGCAATCCCAAGTACAACCTGCACTCGTTCGAGCCGCTGGCCCATCCGCTGGATCCCACCATCTCCGTGGTCGGTGTCGACCCGGATGGCAGCTACATCTTCAAGTCGGCCAAGCAACCCCTTAAGCTGACCTTCCTGCGCGAGGGCGGGGGAACATACTGTGTACGTGTGCGGCCTGCCCATTTCGCTGGCTCCCCGAAGGGTTGCTAACCGTCCACGCCCTTCGGCCCTGTGTCGCCTGGCAAACCATTCATTTCCTTCCCTCCCTCCCGCCTCTCTCTCTCTCTCTCTCCGTCCCCCACCCTCCATGCCCTTTCCTTCCCCCTTAATCGCATCAGGTCATCTTCAAGATGGGCGACGACATTCGTCAGGACCAGCTGGTGATGGCCTTCCTCCGGCTGATGGATCGCATTCTCAAGCACGAAGGCATGGACATGGCCCTGAGCCCGTATGGCGTTCTAGCCACCAGCGAGAGTGAGGGCATGATCGAATTTGTCGAGGGGTCACACCCTCTGTCGGCCATTCTGGACCAATATGACCGGGACTTGGTGAAGTTCATGGCCAAGAAGCAGCAGGAGCAGCAGCAGGCCGCGGCGACGGCCGCTGCCAATGCCGCGGCCGCGGCCGCCGCGGCCGCCGCTGCTGCCGTGGCCGCCGCCGCAGCAGCCGCTGCCCCGGCAGCCGGGCTCTTCCCGCCCCTGCCTCCGGGGGCCACGGCTCGCACGCCGGGGGTCACTCTGGAGTCCAGCTCCAGCATGTCTCTCGGGGACTTCTCCAGCTTCAGCGGCTCGTCCATCCCGGCGGACCAAGCCACGCCGGAGCCACTCTTCGGGTCGGATGCCGAGTCGGCCGATGAGGAGTCGAGCCTGCACGGCTCGATGCTTGATGTCGGCCCCCGGCGACGCGCCTTGTCCAATGCCTCGGTCGGCACCGGGCCCATGGGCTCCGGCCCTCGAGATGATCTCCCCCCGGGGGGTGGCCTGAGTTCGGCCTCCACGCCGGCGCTGCCGATTTTGCCGCCCGGCGCCACCTCGCCCGACCCCGATGCCGGGTCGGCCGTCGTGACTGGCCCGCTTACCGGGACGGATCGCCTCTCGCAGGCTGTCGCCTCGGTGGCGGCGGCCTCGGCCGCATCCGCCACACTGGCCACCGCACCGGGCCACGCGCCGACCCCCGGGTCGCCAGGGCTCCGGCGAACCCCCTCGACCCCGGCCTCCCCCTCGCCCGGGTCATTGCTGAGCCTGGTGACCCCGACACTGGCCGTGTCCTCGGACTTGAACTTCCCGCAGGAGCAGGGCCGGGCGACGCTGTCCCTGCCGCCGGAGGTTCTTATGCGCCCGGCCGAGGGCATTATGCAGGGTGGGGAGATGGCCTCGCCGCCTCTGCCGGCCATGCCGCCCCTCCAGGCTCCCGTGGCCGTGGTGCAGACCAATGCCCGCGGCTCGGCTGCCGCCCCTCCCACTTTGGACCCGGTCACTCGCGAGATTTACCTCCGGAGTTGTGGTGCGTCCTTGTGCGGGGGCATTTTGTTGCCGCGTGGCGACGTGTGTGTGGGGGGGGGGGGGGGGGGGGCGCTGGTTCTTCTTTTGCTGCTTGTCCCAATTTGCCGAACTCACCCTGTCCCCCTTCAGCCGGCTACTCCATCATCACATACATCCTTGGGATTGGCGATCGGCATCTGGAGAACCTGATGCTCACAGACCAGGGCCGGCTGCTGCACATCGATTTTGGCTTCATCTTCGGCAATGACCCCAAGCCCTACCCGCCGCCGATGAAGATTTGCCAGGAAATGGTCGATGCCATGGGCGGCACCTCCGGCGAAATGTGGTTCCGCTTCAAGGACTATTGCAATACCTCCTACCTGGTCTTGCGGCGCTCGAGCAGCCTCTTCCTGTCCCTCCTGCGTCTGATGGACTTCAGCTCGCTGCCCGACATCAGTCGGCCAAACTCGCGGCATGTCAAGAAGGTGTGTCCCTGTCTGTGTCCGCCCTTTCCCGCCCCGCCGTTGGTGTCCCCCCCCCCCCCCCCTCCCCCCCCCCCCCCCCCCCCCCCCCCCCCCCCCCCCCCCCCCCCCCCCCCCCCCCCCCCGCCCCCCCCCCCCCTGCAGCTTGGGAGGTCCCGCCAGCATGCCCCTCAGCCCGTCGGAGCGGCTGGACCGCCAACCGATCCAGCTAGCCGCCCCGGTCTTGCGGCCCGGGCATTCGCTCCAGTCCTCCAAGGACATTGTCTACAGCTCGGACGTCTTCGTGCCGTTGTCCCTCCGCATGTGCGACCATTTGCCGCCTCCCTCCCTGCACGCTCTCCCTCTCCCTCTCTCTTTCCCCCCCCCC